CGGGCGATTCTCCTTTGGTGCGTGGACGATGTTGGTGGCGAGAGCCAACGTGTTGAACCCCATCTTGACCTGTTGAGAACAATGAGCCGGGGGGGCTGGGCCCAGGACAACGTCGCTTGGCTCGGAGGGACGGCGGTCGGCGTTTTTAACCAGGTAAGACCCACCGAGCTAATGTATATGGCTTTTTTTTTAAAAGCGACCTGCCTATCACTAATGATAGCCCAACAAAGTGGCTCATCGTGTGGAAATTTATAGCGGCCAAAAGACTCGAAACGCGCTTCGTTGATTCTAAACGTGGAGGGGAAAACCCGTAAAAAAAATCCACGCGACCACGGGGAGAGGGAATGCAAACTCCAAATATACAGGCGTCAGGGTCATGGATCGAACCCACAACCCCCTGCACACCAGGCGAGGTACTTAACATCCTGCCACCGTGACATCCCATCTGCCGTGGGGATGGGAAATTAAATCGGATTGTGTGCAAGTGCTCATTGGAGTTTTCCATCAGGGGGAGACCTCCATTGAGCAGTGGATAGATCAGAGCTAGAAATTACATGTGATCGCATTCAATATAATATTAAATAATAATTTAAATGTATAAAGCGCCCTTAAATAAATCGTTCTCAGGACATATGCAGTATCACTCACATTTACCGTGCATAATTATTGTACAGTATATCCTTTAAGATATATAAGACTTATTTTACAGGATGTGTGTACAAATGATTACTGTTAGGCAAATGTATCTCCCGAAGACATGAATTGTAGGGCAAGTGTGGCCGTTGAGATATTTCACACTTTGATCATGTTAACGCTCACAAAAAAATTAATTCGCCCTATCATCGATCTCCAGTGTGTTTTGTGAGCATTCCTATTACATAAAGGGCTCAATTAACTTCAGGGTTCAAAGTGGCCCCTCTGTTTCTCAGTTTGTTGGTGTAATGCATTGTCTTGAAATATTTCAGAAATGTATTTGAGTTGTAGCTCTTCACTGGTCTAATGTGAATATCTACCGTGTCATTTCACGAAGTAAAATGTGCTTTAGGCTAGGTATGTTAAGCAACACTGCATTAACGCAACAGATTATAGAAGAGCTCTTAAGCTGTGTTCAGCCTTTACAATTGGATAGGGAACGTCTTGAGCAAAATTGAAAAAAACACTCCATGGAAATTAGCTCTCTGTGGTTTGATAATCGACGAGACTTACAAAAACGGACTCAGGCAAAGTGACACACAAGTCAAAGTTTAACACAAAATATACAAGCTCTGCGGAAGAAGGCTGGTTGTGTTTGATGATGTCCAAACACAACAGTTTGGGGGCAGTAATGAAATATTCGCAATGGCATTTGCCAAAGCAACATTTATTGCACGTGCCTTGAATGCCACGGATGGAGACAAAAGTAACCGCATCTGAAGGGTGTCGAAAATGTGCGTTGAATTAATTTAATATAATACATCAACTTTTAAAAAGTTAGACGTTGACAAGGTTGTTATTAATCTGAGTAATAGCCCAATTTCTGATGGTCTAAAGTCGGGTTTGGCTAAAGGGTTGAACTTCACAGTCACCCCCAAACACATACCAGTGGATGACATTATTGCCCAGGTCGATGTAGCTCTTAAGGGTTTGGGACACATCGCTGCAGACGTGACAAGATCTGAAATTGCTGCAACTCTCAACTTTGATGTGCCCGGACACATCAAAGTTGTTTGATCGGCAGGCAGCGTGTGGTGGGGATAAAGTGTGGGTGCTCTTACGTCTTCCAGGGCCAGTGTGGAAGAGTAGACCAAAATAGCTTCCAGAGGAGCCGGAACAATGTCCGACTCTACTGCAATCGTCTTCACCATAACCTGCTTCTCCATAGCCCATACCACTATTACTCCCTGCCCCCAACCCCCAGCTTACCCCAACCTATATCAATACCCCAACCCCCATCACCATCCATGCCCCTATCATTACCACAACTCCCATCACTACCCATATCACTACCCCAACCTCTATCACCACCCAAACTCATATCACTACTCCTACCACTACTCCAACTCCTATCACTACCCACGCCCGTTTCACCACCACATCCACACCCCCTCCTCTCCTAACGTGTCACCATAACTACACCACCGCTTCTAATAACCCCACTCTTTATCTCAACGACTATCACCATCTTATGTGCAGTTGTACAATCGTTGTAAAGTGCCTTGGAATAAGGCGCCATATACATCTATATACGAGATAAGGGCCCCTTCTGGCAGCAGTAGCATGAGCGAGCAATTGCAGGGCCGCACCTTGACCTATTACACTGCATCATTGTCAAAGGGAATGTGCTCCCGCAGCCCCCGGTGGGAGCAAGGAGCGGAAATTATAGATTCTCACAGCGCTTGCACCGCTCCCTACACGTGGCAACAAAGCGGTACCTATTTTATTGACTTCTAGATGGATGATGGACCGATTCAACCCCCCCCCTTTCCCCCCCCGTTGGGATTTCAATTCGCAAGCCTCCGATTGTTACTCCATATCTATCGACCACCACGCGACGCATGCGAGTAGTCGTTGTCAATCGATTATGCGCACGGTTCGCATTGTGAAAGCGTAAAACGCGCGTGTACGATACAATGTTGCATTAATGGTCGCAATCATGCGCGTCCACTTTTTTCCACAGCGCCTCTCGTACCACCGGCGCACCCTCGTAATCATGCGCGGTGGCACGGCGTGCAGGTCAGGGAAGGAGCAGGGGAAGGAGGTCACTGCGTTATCGGCTGCCCTTGAGCGCGTACCAACTTAGCAATTTTCTCATTGTTACTGCAAAATCAACGCTGATCTGCTTGCACGACTGTCTCTGCTCGGCTTCAGAGCCGTACGTAAATCGTTGGCAATTTTTGTTTCTTTCGGTAAAGTCACGTAGGTAGAAGGATAATAGATCGCCACGTTTCGATCGCAACACAAGCAATCGTTATCAGGTGGGACAACCACAGCAAGAAAAAAAACTGCTGTGGTTATCCCACCTGATGACGATTGCTTGTGTTGCGATCGAAACGTCGTGATCTATTATTGTTCTACCTACCACGTGACTTTACCGAAAGAACCAAAGAGTATGGATTCCTGTAGTCACGAAAGCTTCAAATCAACGTTGGCAATTTGTTGACAAGGCGTGTAAATTGGTTGTAAAAAAATAGATAGAAGATATACCTATCTCCCCCCCTGCTCAACCAGAGCTTTTTCATTTGGTAAGAAATGCTGACACCACTTTGTTTGCATGATTGTCTAAGTAAACAATGCAATCATTGTCGAAAATTAAAGAAACAACTGCAGGTGCTGAGAGAAAATCTAAAACTCGATATGATTGCGCATGACATATATACATGCATTTTAATACACTACGTATTATTGAATAATGTAGATATTTTAAATTGGTTTACTCTCATTGTTTTAATTACATTTTAACACGTTATTGCTCTTTGGGCCAGAATATGTTTGTGATAATTATACTTAGGCAATTGTTATGAAATGTATAATCCATCATGAAATTAATAAACCATTATTTTTGGGTCCATAAAGTCTATTAATTTATTAAAAAAGTGCTGCAATCGGTTTTGTTTATATCACAATGTTTTCACTTTTGAAGAAATCATTTATTTTGAATAAAGCAGCTCACACAATGCTTAACCATTTGGCTTTGTAGGCTTCGGAGATTAACATGGATATTTCTAAACAGCTATTGCATAAGTTAGATGCACATATGTCTAAGGTTAGAGTTGTAATGGCCTCCGATTATTGATTGCCCAAGCGTCTATTATACAGGAGCTCACATTTTATATCCCTGTCTCTTGCGCAACTGTAGAGCCTCAGTTTCGACGTAGCAATGTCCTAGGTGCCCATGAATCCAACCCGTGTTATACAATGGCACCCCAGGTTGGGCAGATGTGGCCACTTTATTAAATCGGCCAATGTTTTAGCCAGGTGCGCCACCCATAGCTTGCTTAGGAAAAGTGGTTACTTTATTAATCTATTGTTTAATCTTTGAGTATTAGTAAAAAAGGTTATTGAGATTTATATCATTTATTTTGGTCGAAATGATTCGTTATTCCTTTGTCACAGCTGCAATAAAACCACGGCCGTTTTAGTAAGCTTTGAATTATGACCTATTCTCTTTAAGCCTTCAGTTGTACATATTTTTTTGAATTTACGATGAATGTACGCATGCGTACTAAAGAGATTATTTTACGTGTGCCTGGATGGCGAGACGTTAGCTTCCTCGCCCGGTGTGCAGCAAGGCCCGGGTTCCATCCTGATACTGACGCCTGTATATTTGGAGTCCATGTGTTCTGTGCCCGCCACATTTAGAAACGTGCGTTTAGATTTATTGGGCTACGAGAAATGATTCCCACATTTGATGATGATTTCGGCCACTGTGATAAGCTATCACCACGTGTGGCCACGTCGCCTCTGAAAAAAGAGTTAATAGCTCAGTGGGTACCTGATAAATCGTTCACTTTTTGGTTATTTTTACTTCATATTCTTGGTTCTTTCAGTAAAGTCACGTAGAAGGGAAACAATAAAATAAAAAAAATATGAAACAATTTTTTACTTATTATTTTATTGTTTCCCTTCTACGTGACTTTACTTTAAATCAAAATATATTTTTACTTCATTAGCTTTGCTGTATAATAAAATGTACACAATAACTGTCTTTAAACGTAATTTCAAAGTCCTGCATGCAATTTACATCATGGTAATTTTATACTCTTTGGTTCTTTCGGTAAAGTCACGTGGTAGGTAGAAAAATTAATCGATCACGACGTTTTGATCGCAACACAAGCAATCGTCATCAGGTGAGACAGAGTTGTCTCACCGTCATCAGGTGGGACAGAGTTCTCTCACCGTCATCAGGTGGGACAACTCTGTCTCACCTGATGACGATTGCTTGTGTTGCGATCAAAGCGTCGTGATCTATTATTTTTTCTACCTACCACGTGACTTTACCGAAAGAACCAAAGGAGTATGGATTCCTGCAGTCACGAAAGCTTCAAATCAAGATGGTAATTTTACTTTAAATTGTATTTCAGTATACTTACAAGAAAGAATGGGGTTGACTGGTACGAGAAAGGCTGCTGCTGTCTGTCGTGTGTGGAGTTCAGCGAAGGACATTTTCCCTCTACGGCCTGCACGGTGTGCAGTCACACATCATGTCTTGAAGACGTAAAGTTAAAATAAAGTTCTATCTTTTGCCTCTTCTCCGATTAAAACAATATACAAATGTACGTAGAGGTTTTGTGTTGTTGTTAATAATTGTGAATGCTGTATATATGAAATGCTCTAAAACATTCACTGCGCTGGAAATTAATATATGGGGCACCATAAGAGACCCATGAGTGGTGTTTTATTGAATGAACTTATAAAAAAAATGTGGCATTATTAATTGTATTCGAACACAGCATTGAAACGTGTGCTTTCTGACGACCCAACACTTTGGAACAAATGCATTGCAGTATTTGTGTCGTGACGACTCAGTGATTTGTATAGCTTATTCAAAAGTCATTCCATATTGCTTCTTAACCGACTAAGGATACGTCTTAATTGGTATAACGATGGTAAATAGTACATTGTTATTAAAGATTACTAAAAGGGGAAAATAGTTTCATTTTCGGTGAAGCAATTTGCATTATTTCCTTTTCTAATTGAAAATGCGTCGAAGAAATCAGTCATTTAATGAAACCTTGAAAAAATGATGGGTTCTTTGTAATCCTGCAGTGATGATATATCGAACAATTTGGAGAATGCATTAAGCGGCCTGTGGTACCTATGGGTGGATGTGATGAAGTGAAGGGAAATGTCTGAGCCTATCTCTTTCTTTAATTAAACCATGTTTCTCCCTTTTACAGCTCCCTAAATCAGCGTTGGCCGCACTGTGGGCTCATGAATGCAGGGAACTGCTGCACGATGCCCCGTGTATCTTGGTTTCACCAAGTAAGTGTGGCATTTTGAATTCGCCAGCGTTTGAATAAGAAGGCAAAAACTACGTATATTAAGCAATGCACTCTGCAGCTTCGGAAGCCAGCTATCGTGCGCTGTCTGAATTCCAACAGTGATTGCATGCATTGCAACACTGGAAGCACACACACGCACATGCACCACGCACAGAAATGAGGACAAAAATATCAGCCTGATGGAGCATGTGCTGTAAGCGAGCTCCTATTAAGGCCAGCACTACGCCTGGTCTCCTTTACATCACCAGGTATTCATTTGAGGCTGAGTCAACCTGGGGAAATCCTAGGACAGTTTGAGATACCACCTGCAACCGATGCTACCCATGGCTAAGAATCGAACCCAGGCGACCTAACAAGTGAAAACTGTATCGCGGATGCCACAACACACGTGTAGATGCTAATGCTTACGTGATCCGTGGGGGAGAAATACCCAGGGGTTTCCCAGGTTACACTCGAGATAGTGGGACGAGGGAAAGAGAAGAGAAGGCGGGCCGAGAGAGAGAGAATGTCTAGGATGAGAGAGAACGTCCAGGATGAGAGAGAGAGAGGGAACGTCCAGGATGATAGAGAGAGGGAACGTCCAGGATGAGAGAGAGAGAACGTCCAGAATGAGAGAGAGAGAGAGGGAACGTCCAGGATGATAGAGAGAGGGAACGTCCAGGATGAGAGAGAGGGTGGTGGCGATCGGTGGCGCCTTCCTGGAAGGGCTTCGGGAGTGGAGTGGACGCACGTGGCGTGAGCTCGTGCGGAAAAATAAAGAAAGCGTGTGACGTCGTCCTTACCTTTGTGTGGTGGACTCATTACTACACACGTATAGATAAGCATGCGAGCATGCACGCCCAGCTCTCTTTATTTACACACCTAGGGGATATGTAAAGCATATAATCACACACTTCCCCCCCCCCCATTACCAATGTTGCCATGTCTTATATTCCGTAAGAAAAGAAACGCATCGCTCATTTCGTTGTTCTCTCTAATTGCTCGTAGTCACCTCCACTAAGCCAAATGTTGTCCCCAGGAATGAGTTTGTTTTTCACCCTAGTGTGCAACCGTGCTGCCTGCTGCTGCCGCCAGACGCACAGAGAAGAAGCCACCATCCCGTCCACCCCTCAGCCCTATTGCCCAGATGGGCCACATTTATCCAGGCAGAACAGCTCGTGTTTATGGGCTTTCCACGGCACTGCCTCTCCACAAATTGAGGTGACGGCCCTCTCAATTACGGTGGCACCTTTCTCCCTGCCATCTCCGGCGTCACCTTCTTCCTCGTCTGCCTCGAGCTTGCGTCTACCCTCCTGACTTTTTGTAATAATCCCTGGCTACTCCGTGACTTAATTTTTTTCTCACCCCGCGCGTTCGGGATGCGTTAATTTAGTTGGCATCGGTTAAAAGCAGCAGCACGTCCTTTGGCAGACGTGCACAATCTAATCCAGCCGAGCAGCTTGGGATCAGATCAATATGTATATCTTTTCAAGACCAAATCAGTATTGCTGCCACATGTACTGCGTCTCAAAATACCCGTGAGATGAATTCTCTTCATCCAAAGGGAATTGCGTCTCCTGGAGCTTCAACGATCCCAGCATATGTCCGTGTATTCACAGTGTCAAGTGACGAATTACATTGCAATTAATGCCAGCATTCTATCTGTATTTCTAGACATTTTTGTGGTCTCTTGAGTCGCATTCCAAGAGTCTTTCACACTGTGTTTGTTCACATGTTAGCGGTAGTGTAGCAGTCAGCTACACTGCACTACGAACCCCAGCGACACGAGTTGGATTATAGCCTGGTTCTTAATCTGGGTGAGTGTACTGGCAGTCTATAATGTAGACTGTAGCCTGGTTATTGTTTGTTGAGTGTACTGGCAGTCTATACTGTAGACTGTAGCCTGGTTCTTAACCTCGGTGAGCGTACTGGCAGTCTATAATGTAGACTGTAGCCTGTGTGTGTGTTTTTGTGTGTGTATGCAGCATGCCCAAATCATATTGTTTAATGACACAATCAAGTGACCTCATCATCATCATGACGCAACCTGGCTGAAGGGTTGTTCGTTTTCATCGATAGTGGAGTGATTGCCATTTAGTCGCAATATCACCATGACACGGTGACGCTGTTGACAATCCCAGTAACGCCATGCCTATAAGAATAGTTACAGCCACCGCCTGGGCTGATAATAATTAATCACTTTATTATGATGAGTGGTATTATCTGGATTGGAGCTAATTGTGTAAGTTGTCCTTGCTTAACATCTGTGATTACGGGTGGACGAACTGCTATTAAGCAAATCTCGGCGCCTCTTTGGCTTTTTAATGTATACCGTTACTTATGTCGGGATCAGTGGAGGATGTGTGTGTGTGTGGAAGGGATTTATGTGGAGTGTAGCGGTAAGCTGCGCTGCACTACGAACCCCAGCCACCCGAGTTGGATTCCCGCTCACGGACAACACCAGTGACGATTATCTGAACCGGTACACTGGGCCTCCCCTAGGTCGACTCAGCCTCAAATGACTGCTTGGTGAGATGTGTGGAGAGACAAAGGCGGTCGGGCGTGGTGCTGGCCACCCACCCCCTCGTGTGTCCGTGCCGGCCTTCATAGGTGCTACCTGCTAACAGCACTTACATTCTGTTAAGGCTATACGGGGGATATTTGTATTTTTTTTATCAATGCACATGCACCTGTGTGCATTTTTCTTTCCCAAGGAGCTGCGAGCAAGCGTATTTATAGATGTCACTTGGTTGCTGCACGCTTTTCACACGCCATTGCAAAAAAAAGTTATGTTTTTTATGCACGTAGCTAATATCTCTATAACTCGAGGCCATGTCTATAACTAGAGTTCGTATCTATAACTAGAGACTGTGTTCATGAGACCATCGCTGTAAACTAGACATCTCTAGTTTACAACTAGAGATCGTCTCTATAACTAGAGTCGGAATGCTCATCAGTGAGCCACTATCTACCTGGTCTACATGGAGCCTCGCTTGTGTCCGGCTAACCATAATTGTCTTGCTCCTCCCTATCCTTCTCCTATTGACATAAATGACCTTCTGTTTATCTGCTACAGGCACACCCAATCCCAAACAAAATTAACCTGTTTGTAAAACAGTCTCAATATTTTGCGATGTGCACAAAGAAGGGGCAATGCATAGATAAAAAAAATACAAAGATCCCCCGTATAGCCTTAACAGACTGCTGGGTGTAAGTGCTGTGAAAATATACAGATATGTGCTTTCTGCTACATGGTTTAAATGTAAAATTATGTTTTTAATATTTCCAAATCCTTTTCAAAGGTCCATAGTGTTTTTTAATACAAATTTAAAATTCAACCAATTCCTTTTCGAAAGGGGATAAACGGTATGAAATGAAATACCACCCATGCTATATATACACACACGTGACTGTAACACTCCTCTTATCCGATTCTTTATTATCCTATTATCCACTCACCCTATGCAAGCTTCACACTTTCCTATTATTCTCTGCACTGCATTCTTCATATTTATTCGAGCCAAAATCATGCTTTTAATACGTCCAAATCCTTTTCAGAGGTTATGGGTGTTTATTTGTTAAACAAATTAAATTCTTCCAATTTCCTATAAAATAGAACATGCTCAAATATAACAGAGTGGCACGGCCCCAGTTGCAACGTTTTTTTATTATTATTATTGTAGAGGTTAACAGTTCAAACCCAGTGGCCACCCTGATAAATACTGGGGGTATACCAAAAATAAAAAATACACCCTCTCTGATTAACAGTCGCGGTTAATGAAGTGGGGGGGGGGGGGGCTTTGTCATTGTGAAACACAAGACTCTATAGAAATGGACACACTGGACACACATGCAGTGTAAAATGCACCAAATTGCATGTTTTAATATCCCCTTTCGAATATCTTCCGCGCGGCGGAATTAGCAGTGTTGTGAGAAGCAATCGTATTCGCACTGTTTAGAGAGCTCTTGAAAGAAAGAGAAAAAAATGTAAACTCACGTGGGTCGTGGAATAATTGTTATTTTCTTAATAACCAGTTCATTTGTTTCAGTTAATTTCATTTGGTGAAACGTTTGGAGCGCAAATAATGTCACATTGAGCATGTCAGCATAATTATTGATAAGAAGCCTTTTTCGTTTTTGTTTAGTTACTTATGAAGTCTGTTTTTTTGTATTGTTGCTTTTTACAATAACATTCAAAGTAACCAACCTTAGAAAATACTTGAAATAGAGTGGATCAAAGGTCAGAGCACCGAGCCAGCACTACTCTAAACATGGGTTCTAATCCAGGTTTCAGCCACAAATGGTGAGACTGGAAACTCTATACATGAATTAGTAACACCCGTGGCCTTAAAAGCAAGAATATACAATGGACAGCTTTTTGGGTAATGGTCCTTTTTCAATGCACGTAACAAACATCACCTAGCATATATAAACATATATAGTATATATGTTTTACTTTTAAGGCCGCAGTGTTATTGACGAATGTGTAGATTTTAATAATTCTGCTCTGTACACAACTGCCAACGGTGCATCACCAAATCATTCGCGTGATTAAACTGACCTCTCCCGTTCAGCGAGTTAATGGGCTCAGGCTGATTTCCGAAGAACTGCATGAACAAAAAAAACACATGATGTTAAAATTGGGTTTCTGTTTGATTTGGTGTGGAAAAAAAAACACCTTTGAGAATTAAAATTAAAATGTTGACTGTCACACAACAGACTCATGGCAAAGTGTGTGTGTGAGAAAGTACGACCTCCATCTCGTAAATGGCAAAAGGGCGCTTGAAGGATGATTGAGAAGAAGTTCTGTAAACATTCTGCGACAGAATGGAGACTATGTGAGGTTCCCTCACATAGTCTCCATCTCGTGCCAAGATGCCCCGAGCGCAATAGTAATACATTGGAGGGGAGGGGGGAAAAAACACCAAAACAATATAACGAGATTTAAAGCTTTCGTGACTGCAAGGATTCATCTTCTTTGGTTCTTTCGGTAAAGTCACGTAGAATGAGAATAAAATAATAAAATAAGACAATAAAATTCTCACGACGGGACGACAGTGCTTCATTGAAGCACTGTCGTCCCGACAGTTCTGCTCTTTCACCTGTTGAAGGCTACTTGTGTTGTGGCCGAAACGTCGTGATAATTTTATTGTCTTATTTTATTATTTTATTCTCATTCTACGTGACTTTACCGAAAGAACCAAAGAAGATGAACATAACGAGAATAAATAATGAACACTCGTGTAGGTGTTATTCAACAAACAACAGATGTAAGTCAACCGACAAACACATTTTGTCTGGAACACACCGCCGGTGCACGATTTGGGTAACAGTGAAACTATTGTAAACCAGCGAGGCGTGCAAAATATGACCACTGTCCTCCATGAGCACACGCCCGCAATGGGGGGAATTGCGCTTATTCGTTATGGCGTTACCAAAATAACAGCGCCCGCCGATGATTAAGCGGATCTCGCCACTGCCACGGAGCGGGCTACCTCGCCGAGCAAAGCGCACGTCTAGGGAGCGCCTGCGTCAAGCCGCCAATAGCCCTAGTCGCCAATGACGACGCATCTTGGGCTTGTCCACACTACCACACTCCTTGCCACCGTGCGATGCATTTTTTCTCCTTCTCTCCCTGTAATGAGATTAACGAGCCCGTGGCTTTGGCCGTAGCCAGAATAAAGCACTTATGCAATCAGCGTGCAGCTTGTAGGACAGCCTGCCCGTCCGGTTAATTGCGGCTCTCTTTCTCTTCATTAGGGTGATGGATGGCGATGTCCGGACGGCTCCCCGTGTATGCGGCTTTGAGCCTGGAGCTGTTGTATCGGGCCCTGCCGCTTGTTGATGGGGGGGAGGGGTCGACCTTTGCGGGTTGACGGAGGAGATGTCTTTATTGGCGCTCGCCGTCCTTCATCCTGCAGGGCGGATCGCGCGACGGAATGGCAGTCTCTTACGGCGTTCGCCGGCATGCATAACAGGATTGGGGGCTTTTGTGGCCCATGGCTGAATCGAGACGCGAGGACTTGGCAGTTGCCGTCACCGGTGAACGATGCTGTAGCTCGCGTAAGGTGAACTGGAGTTTCGGAGAAAATGTGGTATTCAAAGCTGGTTGACTGGAGTTATTTGACAATGTTTGCTTTATTTACAAACGTTTCGGTGAAAAAATGTTACGTTTATATTCATGTTGAATTCAATATTTTCGGAATAAAATAAACGAACCTCACGTGGACACCATTGCTCCTAATTTAATTGTCCCTTCATGGTTAGACGAGAAATATTCACCTGATTTAGATTTTGTGTATATTTTTTCAATTGATTGAAGAAATCTATAAGAATTGCGATTGAACAGTTAATCAATAAGGAATACTAATGTGTGACATTCATGCTCATCAATGTATCTGTGTAGAGAACCTAACTCGAGACCATGATCCTTTAAAACCCTGTTGTACTTTAATTATCCCAATGAATTTTCACTGGATTATCTATGTTGCATTCATAACGCAATGCGGAAAAACACATGTGAGGCTGTATATAGGAATGAATTTGATTATATTTGTTTTCACTAATGGTTGTGTCATGACATTATCCTCATGGAGCAATAGTAGCCCAATGAATGCAGTCCCATCAGAAAAACAAACTAACAGGGACATAAATGACCAAAAACTTTTGAAATGTACTTATCTGAAGCAGATTTTGCCAAATTTAATAGAGGTTAAAATGTAACTTTCATCTTCTTCATTTACAGACTATGTTTTTTTAGATGTGAATATGATGATGATGATGATAATAATAATAATGCCATTCTTGATGGTATTGATGTTCATTGTACATAAGGAGACGTTCTCAACTTAATTATCTCAATTAACAAATCAATCTATTGCTCGTTATGGGACGGAGTCGGTCTTTCTCATGAATTTAAAATAATTTGGATGTTCAAATGGCCGCAGATGAAATTTCATGAGCACCGCAGTAATGCTTACAGAAGAGAAAATGCAATTAACAATCCGAATCATTCCTAAAATGCTGTTCCCCATTTCTTACGTATGCATTTAGACACATGCATTGAGATCATTTAGATGATTTTGGTGCTATAAATGTCCAAATGATGGGCGACTTTGTTTAGCTGCTATCGTTTGTGGCCACGTCGCTTCTGAAAAGTGAATACCTTCCTGGGGGTTGCCTGGCAGGATGGCGACGGTTTAGTTTAATTTTTGTATGCGTTTGTGTGACTTGTTTATCTTTGTTGTACTCTGCATCACTACTATCATGTTTTTGTATTGTTTGTTGTTGTAACGTTCTTACCCCACGCCCCTACTGGACTTCTGTGAAAAAGAGCTTTATAGCTCATCGGATTTCTCCTGAAGTATAAATAAATATTCTGATTCTGACCAATGGCCCGAGTATCTTCCTCTCCTCGCCATCTTCAGTAACAGTGCCACGAATTATATTTATTTGTGTTTGCAGTGATCAATATGCTTTGTCGATCTCTCTGTACGTTCGTGCACGCATATCTGCCTACCTCAACACTTGTTTCCTGCCCTTGTATAAACATTTACATACTTTATATCCATAATCCATCACTTTTGCACACATGCATTATAAAAATTTTAAAAATAATGTCTTCAATGAACAAGTCAAAGTCGTGTTTCGAACATGCGACCGAATATTTTGCGCATTTGTAAAAAAAAAAATGTCACATACGTCTTTATACAGTTGATATATCAATTTGTGGTATTGCCATTAATTCCCATGTTTTGTGTAAATCAGCATCAGATGCTGTTCCGTTTGCTCTGGAGCTTTTGGAATCCCATGCCGTAGCTGTGTGATGACAGCTTTGTTAGCAAGGTTCATGCAAAGTAATTTCTGATGAAGCTGCATAGTGGGAGGTGGAGAAATAGTTTTAATAGTGTCATTAAACGGTATGCCTATTTACTTGTAATCACTGTTCCGGTTCTTGAACTCTTTTTGCAATTACTGCGCCAGCGTGAAATTAAGCCTAATTAGAGAATGTTTAATACCTTATAAAACACTAACGCTGGTAAGAGAAGGATGGATGGTGGCACGAGTGTAAAAATGTTGTTTAGAGCAACGTCAGAGTTATGATTTGAGTATTTCACTGAACGTGCACACGAGCGCTGCATGGTCTGCGAGCTTAGTTAATAGCAGTCTCTCATGTGAACTAGCGTGCAAGCTGGCTTGATAAACAATCCCAATTTGTAAGCCAGAACAGATGGAGGTGGCTTGAATGATGCTCTGTGGTCTTTGGAGGCTGGTCCTAGTTGCCTGCTTAAGTCACTATTCATGGTTCGGAGCGTTCTTATGAAGAAGTCGATGTAATTTTGACATTTTCCTTATTGGGTGCACGGGTTTAGACTGTCATTCAAAGTAGCAATGGAGCAATGAGGGGAAGGAGGGAGGGACACACACAGCGGTGATTGTGTGCTCGAAATATTTACGTAAAAAAATATGCATGTCGTACTATTGGGAGCAAGTAATGTATTCATATAGAGTTACCCACGAACCAAGCGAAAATATTCATGTATAGCTATCAAAATGTCCGGAATGTAAGTAGACGAATAAACATCACATTTGTGATATGTACGGAGATTCACACGTGCCCATCTTCATAGCACTCTTGGGTAACACATTAAACACCTCTACAGACACAAGGTTTTGCCAAGGAAATCCGATGGGAATTTTATTGACTTTTTTTTACTGGCGGCAGTGAATTGAATGAGATTGTTGCCAGTTGTGCGAGTTGTGCCAGTTCCATGCAGCAAATATTCTCCAGGGAAGATATAAAAAAAAGATCTAGACTTTAAAATAGCGGTGCGTGTTTAATGTCCAAAACATGGACACACCACACAGGCCACAGTAATGCATACTTTATTGTCTCCCTAAATATTCATCCCATAACTCTGTCTTCACCACTCACTGGGCCACATCTTCCTTTGTATAACCACTGCTGGTCCAGCGCCCAATTTGTATCTTGTGTATCAAATGTCACCAGGTGCAAATTAGGTCTTGTCTTTATTTGTCAAGCACTTCCACGTGCACTCAACTGCAAGTGGGATTTTAGATACTTACTGTGAATGATAACCAGAAACTGGAAACACTCTGACGTGACAGACCATTTATTGGCAGCTGATGTCAGCAGTTAATGCTGTTAGGAACTTCAGAAATCGGGATGATGCATTGTACATGTCCAATCGCGCTTTGGTATTTTTTTTAACCTAAAAGCTACCCCGCTAGAGACCGTGGTACCATTTTCTTATTTATGGCTCCCAAACATCCGGTGCATTTTGCAATGGGTGCGAGGAAGAAGTCATATTTCTGCACAAGGAATGCATCAATTTTGCGCAGTAATGCATAATAAAGAATTACATCTGTCACCGGATGGCAGCGAGTTGCATTTATTTGTGAAAATTATGTACATATTTGTAATATATATTAAGCTGTCAAATGCAAGAAAGGTACATCATCACTGATCCTCTCACAAGAATGGATCATAAACGGAGGCTTCAGTGCAACATATTTTTTCATGGTCCATGGGATGCAGGATAGAAATTTACGGCTGGCTGCCCCGTGGCTTTTAAAGGCATCACCATAACAGATTTTTTTTTCTGGCCTGTGGGGCAAAAGAGTGTAAGGGACAAGGCAGGATGTTGAACATCACCAAAGGCAGAGGTTAGGCGTGACACCCAACACGTTCAGTGAAGTAAACTAAACTATTTAATTTCCCAGGTAATGCCCACTGAGGTATACAGCTCTTTTTCAGAAGCGACCCGTCCACAAATGATAGCTCAAAGAAGTGGCTTATCATCATGTGGAAATTTATAGGAGTCAAACACTCTAAACGCGTGATGTTGCTTCTAAATGTGGGGGAAAACTACCGTAGCACTCGGAGAAAAATCCATGATACCACGGCAAGAGAGAGACACGCAAACTCCAAATGTACAGGTGTCAGGGTCGGGATCGAACCCACGTCCTCCTATGTACCAGGCGAGGTAGTTAACATCTCACCACAGAGGCTCCACATGGTAGTGAGATGTTAACTTCAGTAACCTGTACACAATTGCTGTCTAGAATGTCTCTTGAACACAGCTACACTCTTGTAAAAGTTATTATTTTATTATTTTTCTATCTACGTGACTTTACCGAAAGACCCAAAGAGTATAAAAGTTACAGTTTGGTGAAAAAACGGTTAAAATAAACTTAGTTTTTTATTGTTTGGCATCATGATAAGAATTCACTTACAATGCAAGAGCATTTTTGGCATTAGATGAAATCTTAAGTTGTAAAACTGCAGCTCATACTTTTCACAATGCTGGTTCGTCAGGAACCACATCCTGCAAGCTGCCCATATTACAGATGCTGTACGTTTCGAAATTGTGCAGTACTGCTTATACATCCAAGCCGTTGTTATATAATCTCAGGTAATTAAGCATTCAGCGATGTCATTTCTACTTGCCGGTGATCGCCAAAGATGTCCTTGCTGTGATTCAAGGAGGATACTTTCGGAAAAAATGCGGTCTGTATAAGTGTAACCGTTTTCCTTTTGATAAGTTGTACCGACTTGTCTTGGGGTGCGGTGTTCCCTCCCTAGTCACGAGGGATACGCTCCGGAGATGCTCGTGAATAGCAAATTTCACGGCTAATAATAATTGCCTACGAAAACCGTTTTTTTTTTTTAAAATGAGTAACCTTAAAGAAATGCATACATAACCTGTGAAATACATGAAACTTATCATAACACTAAAACATTAAAATTAGTTAAATAAACATAGAGCACACCTGTGTGCTGTAGCAGTCACTAATTGACACATCTTGTTTACGTAACAAACCTTGTTGGTGGCGGGTTTAACGACACATTTATATTTACACAATCTAGCCACAAAAAAACAAACCTTTATTATGGATAATATTGCTTGCGAAAGCCTACTACGTGTTAAACTGTGTGCATGTTCCATTAAATTACTTTCTTTGTAATTCTGCAAAGGAGGAAATGTATCACACGTGATTCAACATACAACCTTGAGACAAGACTCGGAGCAGCACAATCCTGCAGTTGGATATCGTTTGGTTTCCTGTTCAAACATTGAACCATTTTGAGCTCAATTTGTTTCTCATCAACATTGTGAGTGACATGCAAATTTGCTTGACACAATGGGAGAGGTTAAATATCATGAAAGAACAAATCCGTCTGACCCTACTTTTTGGCAATCCCACAATACTCTGCCTGGGACGTACAATGCTCCCAAAGCCCCCCCCCCCCCCCTTCATTTTCCTGTGATATGTTCTTATAAGATAGTCCTAGATTATTTTCACAATGTGAAATTGTTATACAATATGAAATATCATTTTCACCACCACCAGCAGCAGCAGAATCAATACATAATCAATACATTAATCTGTATTAATATAGCTTCTTTGTATGTTTGTTCGTTCGTCTGTCCGTCTCATAAGCTCCCTCTTGTGGTTATATAAAAAATAATAAGGCTCTTTACATGTTTTTGAGTACAGTGTCGTGTATTGTATACATATTGGTGAGAGTCTAGTTAAGAAAATGTATAGGAATAAGCAAAGGGATGAAGTAAGGTAGAGAAACGGGCGTTAGGGGAAAGTGTGGCAAGAACACCGTCCGTGAGGGGTTAGGGAGCATAGAGCTGCGGTGGTGAGCTGTTAACTACCTCGCCTGGTATACAGGAGGTCGTGGGTTTGATCCCGACCCTGACTCGTGTGTATTTGGAGTTTCCATGTTCTCCCCGTGGTTGTCTGGATTTTTCTCCAGGTCCTCCGGTTTTTCCCTCCACATTAAGAAACGTGCATTTAGACTGCTATATATTTCCACGTGATAAACCACTTTGTTGAGCTATGATCTGTGGACAGGTCGCTTCTGAAAAGAGTGCTATAGCTCAGTGAACCTTACCTAGTAATATAAAAAGAGTTTCGGTTCTTGAAAATGTTATTTGATCTTGAAAACGTATTACAATAAAATGACCTGCACGTTTCTTTAGCTGCTAAATTATTGCTTCAAAATTAACATATGTTGAAAAATATATTTTTATTCCTAAAGCATAATACGCTATTTTTGTCATGCAATGGAAATCATAACGTGCATTGCAATTTGTCAAATATTGAGTATTTTACTTATAAATATTTAGGTGAATGCTCATATGGGAATAATATCACTGAAAAACATCTCTCACGGGTGAGATTATAAAGCCAGTATAAACGTGGATTGCATCGCAATACAGAGAAAAGCTTTCAACCAACAATAGTTGTGAAATAGCTGCCGAAATGATGATTGAGTCAATTCTTCGAGGTGTTTTGTAGATCGGCCCTATTCAACTGCTATCAACTCTTAAGTCTCTCAGGAACTACTTTTAATCATGGGTAGCCATATTTTCTAACCACAGAAGTGTAATACGATTATCATCACGTAGATGATCAGGCTCATGCCAAATAACCCGAAGTCTTTAATTCGATGTCACCCAAGATAGAGTAAACATTTATCGACTCTAAGCAGATCACTCACACATAATAGCTTAAGAATATATCACATCTGCGCAGTCTGAGAAAAAAACTGCGCTCCAAACTTATTTATCTATCAACGGTTGATGATTCACAAAGAAAATACAAGTAAATGACGGTGCAGTACATATGTATGCAGACCACTGATTTATTTGGCTTTTTTGAATTGTAAAGATTGATGTTAAGCATCATTATTGCTCTCTGTACCCACTACGATCTTTATCGGAAAGTGGTGGTGGTGGTAGGCGCTCGGGCTGCTAGATGGTGCCCAGTGACGGGACTGGGACTCGAGATTGGCCCAAGCAGTTGTAAACACACAGGGCCCAAATTGCTGTGCGATCTCATTGGCCCATTTGGGGCTGGTTCAAAAAAACAAATGTGCCGGTTGAGGAATCATCTTTTTGGGGCTGCCGAATATAGTACTTAATGCCAACTGAGAATGTAAATAAGCAATGAAGCGTAACACAGAGTTAATTCAACATTTTCTTTGGAAAAAAACTATATCTATGGGACCTTTTTGCCAGTATCCAAAATGATGAAAATTAAGGATAGGTTTAACCATTCTGGCAATAGAACAGGCGTTATGATGTTCAAACCACACATTTGTGGCAAAACATGCAAACAAACATGCTCTGATAACACTGGTCTACAGCCAAAATTCTTACGAAATAAATGTAGTCCAACTTGACTAATTCTTGGTCACTGAGAATGAAAATGATGCTTTAAATTGTTGTTTGGCTCTAGCTTTCAATATATCCTACTGGGTCAGTACATACAACCCTTGACTTGGGAATGGCGGAGGATAAGTGAGTTATAAAGGGAAGGGATCTCAATTTAAACCAGAAATTACTCAAATACATCTTTGACTAGATCTATGAATAAATCTATGACTGGGTTTAGACAGTACTTGCTTTTTGAGCAAAACAATGAATGATGCAATCTGAACCTGGTATTGCATCATACATGATATGAATTGCATCATTATTCCTAGAAGTCATGGATGATGCAAACATAACTAGGCTTACACCCCTCTGCTGAACAAATTGCCCTATATCAGCTCGAGAAATCATACAGTGTCGTGCTCTCTTATTTGTCAGTGTTTGATTTTGCAAAGGGACACATTTCTGTTTAGCCAAAGTGAGCAGAGATGCCTCGTACTTGTGTGAACACAGCAAATAACTTCTGCCATGTTGGTGGTGAAGTGACGTTTGCATCACAAAAGCGCAGTATAACCACTATGGCTAAGAAAGCCTATCACCTTCATTTTGGCTGCAAAATTGGAGATCAGGACAATATGTGGGCCCCACACATATGCCGCAACACTTGTGCAACAAATCTTCGCCAGTGGTTGAACAGGAAAAGGGAATCTATGCCTTTTGCAGTGCCAATGAGTTGGAGAGAGCCAACAGATCATATCAGCAATTGTTACTTCTGCATGGCGCCTCCAGTTGGGAAAGGTGTGTCAAAGAAGACAAAGTGGACTGTGCATTATCCAAACATTCCATTAGCTATATGCCAGGTACCCCATGGACAAGGATTGCCGGTTCCTGATGCACCGGAATCATCCTCACTTGAGTCAGACGAGGAAGAGGATGAAACTTCTGGTCCTGAACGATCAAGGTCACATGACCCAGATTTTCTCCCATCCTCCTCCTCTGAACCACATCTCATAACACAAGCTGAACTGAAAGACCTTGTCAGGGATTGGACCTACCCAAGAGTAAGGCAGAGCTGTTGGGCTCCAGACTGCAGCAGTAGAATCTCCAGTGGAATGTTAGGGTTTCCATGTTTTGTGACCGTCAAAAGGATCTTGTCCCATTCTTCTTCATGGAAGGTGATCTTGTAGCCTGCAACAACATTGATGGTGTGATGCCAGCCCTCAACATCGTTCATGAGCCACATGAGTGGAGACTGTTCATTGATTGATCGAAGATGAGCCTTAAAGCTGTTTTTCTGAATAATGGCAATGTTTTGCCATCAATTCCAGTTGGTCGTGCAGTCCATATGAAGGAAACCTATGACAACATGAAACAACTTTTGAGGTGCATAAACTATGACCAACATCAGTGGCAGCTTTGTGGTCATTTGAAGGTTGTTGCTCTCTTGTTTGGTCTGCAGACTGGATACACAAAGTACTGCTGCTGTTTTCTCTGCGAATGGGATAGTCGTGCAAGACATTCCCACTACATCAAGTTAAATTGGACACTCCGACAGTCCTTGGAGCCTGGGAGGTAAAGTGTTCAGCATGAAGGAAGATTTTGTTACCACCCTTACCCATCAAGCTGGGTCTGATGAAGAACTTTGTCAAAGACATGGACAAAACACAAGCAGCTTCCAAGTACATTTTGATTTAAAGCTTTCGTGACTGCAGTAATTCATATTCTTAGTTTTTTCGGTAAAGTCACGTTGAAGGGAAACAACAAAATAATAAAATATATATAAAACAATAAAAAAAATCTCACAACGTTTCGACCATAACTCAAACGGTCCTCAAACGGTCCCTTCAACGTGACTTTACCGAAAAAACTAAGAATATAGCTTCCAAGTACCTCCGTGGAAACTTTCCAAGGTTAGGTGAAGCGAAGATAAAGGAAGTTGTCTTTGTTGGTCCTCAGATTCATGAACTTCTTCGAGATGATGCATTTGACGGTGAACTGCGTGGCAAAGAAAGAGACGGCATGGAAAGTCTTCCAGTTAGAGGCAACACATTTTCTCGGAAACAACAGGGCAGACAACTACAGGGAGTTGGTGTAAAACCTCCTCAAGGCATACAAAAGCCTTGGTTGCAACATGTCACTAAAGATACATTTTTGCACTCTCATCTAGATATTATCCCACCGAACTGCGGAGCAGTGAGCAACGAGCATGGCGAGCGATGTCACCCAGGACATTGCAACAATGGAGAAACACTAGCAGGGCAAATGGAGCCCATCAATGCTTGCAGACTATTGCTGGACAGTGTCAAGAGATGCTCCATTTAATTAATACAAGAGACAAGCCAAGCAGCGCCCAGTAGACAAGTACATCGGGCTAAACTATGTACTTATTTCTTATAGCTTTTCGCCTTTTGTTTCATAATACATTTTATGTATATAACCCTTTTGCTGATTTTTAAAGCGTTACATGAACAGGACAGGTGACATGTTATCATGTAAAGAACCATACACGCATGAAAAGACCTAGGTTTAGAATTTATGAGTAAAACTCTACTTTAGACATAAGATGTAAAAAACAGAAATACCTTGGGAACAGTACCCAATCACTTGTTTTAATTGTCATATTTGAATTCAGCACATCAAAATCCATAATAAACAGCACATTTCATCTCGGAAGCAGACGACATCTAAAAAAAAAAAAATTGCAGACTAGTGTAATCGATATACATATTTAACTTTGATCACATTTGCAATTTCCTCAAACAAACCGACCCACCTGTCCTCGGACTGCTGCTCCTATGGCCACTGGTAACTGGCAGCGTGCCTACCGTGGGGCACCGCTCTGTGGCGGCGGCAGCAGCAGCAGCAGGAGCAACGCTTGTGTTGTGCTGATAAATTGCCACTTTATCTCCAATAATGGGGAGCTATTTGCTAAATTGTGAGCCGCATAGAGAAGGAGGCACCGGATTTGGTGAGTGCAACCAATTCTCTCTGCCTGAATTGCAGGATGGTGAAAGCCTACAAGGCTGTGTAGGAAAAAAAAAGTTAGTTCTCTTCAACAGGATCACCATCATTAATATACTTTCTTCACAGGCATTATTGTCAATATTTTCCACCCTCATGTTAAATTTACTGTTTTTACACCCGACGAAAAAGGATGTATTTCCTTTCAACATAGGGAAGGTAACTGCTTGGCAATACTAAATTGACGTGTGATCTGGACTTTAAATCTATGTTGTACTCGTACACATCGTACTGCTTTCTTTTTTTTACAAAAAAAACATGTTTATTTTATACCTACGTGACTTTACCGAAAGAACCAAAGAGTATGGACGAACACTTATCTTTGAGCATAATAGAGGATTATCCACTTTTTTCTGGAAATGCTCTTTGTTCATTTAAGTGCCTTGGCTCTGCATTGCGTGCATTTAGCTTCTCCAGTTTTTAAAATGCTTTCCAAACGAGGAGAAGTGCATTTACACGGTGTACCCTAAACACCTTGCTTGTAAATTCGCATTGTCCACAACGCCTCTTTTTTATGGGTGCGTGTGCAAAAACGTTTGCGCCATGACACATATTAAGAGCTTCTCTCGTGAAGGATTTAATCATACAATTTTACTGTGGATATGCCCTGTGTTGCAGTAATCTGAGAAAGAGTAACATGTAATATCAAATTATTTCATTAACATTTAATGCCCTGAATGTTGTGGACTAAATTGCTTATATATAAAACAATATTTAAAACGTCACTTTTAAACTTTCTTTCCCCATCCCAAAAATGGAGAGCCCACAAACATCACTTCGATCATCTATCTTTTTAATACAAGGAAATATTTGTGGAATAAACTTGTTGTATAATGTCATTAAGTTCAGTGAAGCAGAATAGGAAGAGTGTACAGGCACATAAAGATATCTTTTTCATTTTGCATCATTCTACCCATGTCTTGTTTTTAATATCAACTCACTCACTGTTGGTGAAGATGCAAAAAGCTAGGCTTGCTCAATTTTGCAGGTAAGCCAGTTTTTGCTTTCACGTTGCCAATAAAATGATAGAAAATGTCAAATTTCGCTGAACCCCATTGATGATCGCAGGAGTAGTAACGCCGTCCATTTTCTCTGCCCGTCAAATAAGTTGTCCCAACAATACTTAGGAAACATAACACAACACAATCCACAATTAGAAACAAATTTGGAGAAAAAGCCCACCGGTGTGTTGGAGAGTAAATCCACAACATTAATAACCTGAGTACGACGTTTTCGCTGGTAATTACATCCAGCATAATCGGGCGATGTTGTGTATTTAACTCTCCAACACACGGCGGGGCTGAAGTGGTAAACTAATTGGCGCTTTGTTTACGTGACAAACCTTACTGGCTGTGTCGGGTGGTGGAGGGTTACGACACGTTTATACTTACGCGATCTAACCCAGAAACCTTTATCGTGAAAAATATTGGTCGCGAAAGCCTACTACATGTTAAACGGACAAAAGTCCATTGTTTATACCTTCTGGACCGTTTCATAATGAGGATTTACGGATCACGCAGATAAGTGAAAACTCCCTACCCCGTGGGCATCAGGCTATGGCAGTGCAAGTGGATTACTTCGTCATCCGGTCATGGATTTTGTGTTACCCTCCCTTGCGTGTGTGGGGTTTCTCTGGCTACTCGATTCCTCCCGCGTGTAACCGCTCATGGATGAAGTTGGGCAAGAATCTGTGGTTTTTCGTACCTCTGCGCAAAATCTATTCTCATTAAAAAAATCTATTCTCATTGAGAACTGGAGGGGGGGGGGGGGATATTATTATCAAAGGAGCGACACCTTTGCGTCTCGCGTGAGCCCACTCTGTCACTGGCTCGCGTCTCCCCAAGGGTCTCGCTTTGCTCGGTTGACAGGCGCGTTCGGTTCGCCGCGTCGCGATCGTCAAAGGCTGCGCGTCGCCTCGGCGTTGGATAACGCTAATGTCTCATTTTTATTTTAATGTGTGGCGCTCGAAAGGTATCTTTGAAAGTCCTCTTGGCTCTCAGTGAGGGGCAAAAGTTCCCCACCCCTAATTCGAGCTATGGTGGGGGCGGGGGGGGGGGTCTGTTTTTAATACGCGGTAAAGCAATAGCTTTGGAACAGCGCACACCAATATTACATGAAGGACATGCGGACATGCATATTTAAAAGGGTGCCAGACAAGGTGGCATGCTTTCACCGAGGTTATTAACGGTGCGATATCGGAAGATGTTTTTGTTCTCAAGATTGGACCGAAGAAACATGCCGCGTGCATGTTAATGGTGTGAAAACATTCACCGTCTCAGATTTGCTGGCGACGTGGTAATTATAAAGGGCGATGACAATGAGACGGGTCTGGCGTGATGAGTTCGGTTCGTGCGCCACAGGTGCTGGATGGGATGTTGATTGCGGGTCTGAGAGGTCTTCATCCAGCAGTGGATTGATCATGTCTGATGATCATGATGATAAAATGAAATCGGAATTGATTTAAATGTAACACAAACCAATATGGGTTTCCGTAGCATATGCATGCAACCACATCTCACTGTGCAATGAGATATAGGCGTGCTGGAGAAGGTGGTGTGGTTATTTATTTTAGAAAGAGATGGTGATACGCACAGAACGTGAGAACGATCTTCAGTCCGGACTGGAGCATGGAGTTGGCTACGGGAACGGAATTTAAGGCAACTTCCCTCCTTGCCAAGGTTGCCTGGGGACTTTTGACAAGGAGTCCTTGAATGCTGGCGCACAGAGTGTGAGGAGGAGGAGTTGAGTGAGATGAGAATGGAGACGTGGCAAAGGCGATTCCATGGAGGATACTGACAATGGTGGGTGTGACCTTACAGTGGATTCAGGATTGGATAGTATTTCCCAGTCAATTCCTCAGCATGTTCACGGGAATGCTGGTTGAATGTAGCGACTATATTATTCCCCAAGATGCCCTTAATGCATGTTATGTATGTGGTTAAAAATGCAAGGCTGTGGTCATTATTGCAATATACTGTATTTTAATATATGTGCAAAGGAGAATTTCATGTAAAAAAGTTTCAGAACATCCAGGAAGTTATCATTTATTTACTTACACTTCTAATACTTTAAAAAGTCAATATTCCTTTGGTTTAAATCATAGCATACTAGTAGTTTTAATGAGTTCCGTGGAGATCAGCGTGGCCATAAATAAACACGCAGTGCATTTATATTGATGGATTTCAAAAGGGGGTTTTCTTATTATTTCAAGTACATAGGCGGTGCATTCAACTCACATCGATTTACATAATGGCATTTGTGACAAGTGGCCAGCGCAACAAACAAAGACGCAAAAACATAAATTGTGGAGCCGCAAGGATCATACCCGCTCTACTTTTATTCCCTCTAATTGAAATGTAAATGTCAGGTGCATGCACTTGTGCGAAAGTTTAAATTATAGCCGTTTCCGCGTAAACCAATTTGATAATTACTCAAGAGCATCGCGGGTGGCTGACCTTAAAGCCTAATTGCCACCGATGGAGGGACATTGCACGCTCAGATCGTGATGAAAAAGTCTCCGAGCAGCAACTGCTTGCTGCTGCCCATTAATTGTGTGTTTCCAGCACCTGTCCGAAAGTCCTTGTTATTATTCGAGGCGGTTTGGATTTACCGTTGCACTTAAAATCATGGCCACCGAGTCGATCCCTGTTTTTCATTGGAAAAACCATTTTGAGATACATTCATTAGATGTTCTTTTTGGATGAATTCTCGAAAATGATAATGTTACAGTCTCCAAAGTTGTCCTCTCGAGATTCTGTATGTCAATTTTAATTCCTTTAAGAAGAAAAAAAAATCTAAAATATGCCTTCACGTTTTTGCTTTGCACAGCTATTTCGTCTGCTTATCAAAGTCCATTGATAATAGAGAATTTCATTTATGTTTAGTGCTTTTGTGGTGTTCCCTTGAAATAAACTAATAGATCCATAATGCATTACGTGTGGTAATTGTGAAAGTGGTAATGGCCAGATTAGTTACCAGTTACATGTCCGCTTCCCAGCATGTAGTGCTTAAGAGAACCGTTTCTTGCAGTTGTTATTTATTTATTGACATGGTTAATATATGTTTATTACTGGCCATATATTTATACGTTTACAAATGCCAGATATTTGCTATTATCGTTTTTCTCTTTGCTACTGTAGCCATTACAGCAACATTTATCAGCAGCTTTTATTGGTCTTTAAAATGGGGACATTAGACTGCCAATGGCTTTCGTTGTATAAGTGGTCGTTTACACATGGCTCGAAGTTGCAAGTGGAATGTGTTTGGCATGGATTTAAGCTTCATACATGCTTTCAGCAACACTGCACGAGATTAACGGTGGAGAACAAACGCCGTTTATGAAAGTAGATGAGCACGCCTGAGCCTAAATGCAGAGAAGCTTTATCTACGGCCACAAATTGAGATTTTGATACCGCAACTGACTGATGTACATTCCTAGACATGTCAGCGATGCTCCAGAAGGAAATATACGGACAAATTAAAGTATTGGCAGCTGTATTTGGTACACATAGTATGTCGGAAGTCCGTTTTGGAAAACTTGAGGTGTAAAAAAAATGAAAAAGCTACGTACCAATGTGTTTAAAGACGGAAACGCCGAATCATGTCTACATCACCGGCTCCAACATACGGATCAGAAGGAGAGCTACTGCTGTCAACAGCTTGGGTAAAGCGCGCAACACATACCGTGAGCCTTTACGTTTATTGTTCGTTCATTGTTAGCAAAGTGAGATTATGATGCACCACAGGGTTGACAATATTTTCCATCATCGTTATCGTCGTGGGGTCAGGGTCTATCCGCCGCTGGATGAAGGCCTCCCGACGCGGCCGCTCTTTGTCCTGTGATGCCGCAGTCGCCCTCACGACTGATCTCATTGCACCATCTTCCACTGTCGTCCTCTCAGAGAGTACATTCTCTCCTCGAGTTGCCATCACCATTCGCATCCGTTGGCTGCACACATTCATTCCGGTTTAGGTGTCCAGCCCAAGAACGATTCGCCTTTGCTAACCCGGATCCATGTTTTACTCTCAGTGTCATCTCGAGGCGGACATCTCGCCACACTTCTTTACACACTTTTGGGGGGCCCTGTCCCACATTCGCTGTCGGCGTCCGTGTTTGCTGGTCCAAAAATCGTGGTGAGTAATACGCACTGACGGAAAACTTTCCTCTTCAGGCATGTTGCTACGCTGCTTTTAAAAATGTCGCTTCTCAAAAGCAATCCGGCATGCTCTTGTTGTACATTGTTTCATCAACTTGATCCTAATCCGCCTTAAATAATTACCTTTCGGTGTACATGGTCTGCTGTGTTTTTTCCCTGCTGTGGCTTTTCAACGATTATTATGGTTTGTTTAGAAGGACAGAAAAAGGATCCATGTGTTTCACGCAGCTCTTTGGCATGGTATTATCCCGATGCTGCCCGTGTCCTTTGCCCAAATTAAGGGATTGTGACAAATAAAACAATGCCAAGACAAATCTGAATTAATCCCCTTCAGAAGATGTGATGAACTTTAAGAGTAAAATAACTTAATGGAAAGTTAAATGCAAATAAAGTATATTTTCGTGCCGTGAATGTATTCGTTTTAATTAACTAAAATATATTTAATGAAGGTGACACTGCTGTAAAGTTTTTTTTTTATCGAGTATACTTTTGGTCATCATTACGGGTGTGAAGATAAATTATGGATTGTTGCTTCCTGATGAGTCTCATCTAATACTCCAACATTTCTACAATTAGATTCAGATCATTAAGGCAGTTCATGGCTTATTAAGCTTCTTCACTGTGCTGTGTGTCAGCACAAAGGTCTAAGGATATGAACTGTGCTTAAAACGAATGCAGTTAATATTCCTCCTTGTTATATGCATGGCATTATTCAACAATTATCTTAAAAGTAAACTGAAGTTATCCTTTTTTAAAGACAATCTACATGACAAAGAAAATGTGGTTCATGGCATGGATTTTCAATTGGTGGTTTTGTATGACGTTAACTTCCTTTCCTCCTCTGTCATATTTTGAAGACCGAGATAATAGAACAATACAATTTATGTATTTATGTAAAATATCTCCTGGAGGAAGTTTTTAATATTCCACAAAAAAGATAGTTTTTTTTAGTTAACCATAATGATCCATTGTCCATAAACAGCAAGCTTCAGTGTCATGAATCAAGATGTCAGTAGCAAATATCAATTTGAAGCACTGTTGCACATTGTAATTGCGAGGGTTCATTTGTGCATTAAAATCACGTTTGTGTGAAGTCACAGTCGTGCATTTACATACAATTTCTTTGTCATTTTAATTATTTTCCTTTGTGCGAGTGCCACGGCCCTAACCGCTGTGAATTTGCATACACAGCCGCACTGCGTGTCGCCACGCGTCAGATTGCAGGCGGATCGTGAGGTTCACAAATCGCCGTAACGCGTGCACTCACCATCGTTGCCGATGACGGAGATATCACAGAGGGAGCACTGTGGACGTGAAGGCACGTGTTGCTGTCTCGGGGTCGTTCGGGCACGTGGCGGAAAGTGGGGCTATCGCACATTCTGTCTCAACGCGGTCCCCATCGTTTCTCTCTCCCAACGTTTTATATCTGCGACGCACACGCGCGCGTGTGCTTGCTTCCATGGGCCAGTGTGCACACGGTATATGAAGAGACTCGTGTGTGTGCGTGTGTGTATATACATATAGCTCACGTTACTCTTTGGTTCTTTCGGTAAAGTCACGTAGGTAGAAACATTAAAAAATATATATATCACGACGTTTCGATCGCAACACAAGCGGTCGTCCTCAGGCGGAAAACATCATCCAGCAGTGGAACTGCTGAACCAGCCCACCTACCCACGTGACTTTACAGAAAGAACCAAAGAGTATGGATTCCTAAAGTCACGAAAGCTTCAAATCAAGATCGTTCACGTTGTTATTTTTTCATTATTTTTCATACAAACGCTTTATACGGTTACATTCATTGAATAATGTTAGGCAGCACGTTCGTACTATTACCCAAAAACCTTATTTTATGTCCACAGAACATTATTTGGTGAGATTTTAAATATTGAAAGGTTTTTAGAGCAAATTGAGGCAGGAGTCTTAGAAGAGTAGGACTTTTTCTTCACAATGTGAGTATTTAAAACAAAATATATACATAATGTTTCGTGTAATGTCAAGTAATCAAATATCAATGTACACAAATGCATGCAGTTTTAGTTTTAATGGATATTTCCACAATCACACATTTTTCTACAAAGTAACACCTCTTGAAAGACCCTACCCAGCCTACCCCAGAGAGGGCCCACGTCTCTGCGGTGCCAGTTCACATATACTGCACGGCGGTTATCAAGTCCTCGAGCTACGAGTTACAAGCAGCGAGAGGCCTCACTGAACCTTCTTCAGACAGGGCGGTTATGTAGGAATTGTTTATGGGGGGGGGTAGTTGATGGGGTGGCAAGTGCCAGGGAAGGGGAGAGAGAGAAGTGTATTGGGACCACAGGCCTCTGGGCACTGGTGCAGAGCTCCCTTTTTAAAACACCCCGACTATGCCCCCCCCCCCCCGCCTGACTCGATGTCACAGACCACTTTGAATTCTAGCCAAGATCTCTCTGAAGCGTGACACTTGTGCTCCTGGTTGACGCTATCGAGATTGAGTCGGGGGGGGGGGTCTTTTTTTGCTTTGCTTTAGAACTCGGGGTGCTGAGCCATTTTTACTTATCAACTTGTGATCAGTTGGAAATCCCCCCCCCCCACTCCTCCTCCCACTTATGAAGCGTGACGGAACACAACAGACCTTCGCTTACCTGTAATAGAAAGGTAGGAGTTTTGATCCGCAGAGGTCCAAAGGACGATTGCCCTGCATGAGCTCTGGCTGGCAAAAATAATTCGTTGTTTCTGTCAATTTAACCTCTTGACTGCCTCCTGTTTTGGTATTGTCACCTAAGATACAGCAACTGCGGAGTTATCCAAGGTTTACCGTGAGAAGACCGAAGCTAGATTAGTATCATCCCTACTATAATGCCACTCTCTAACTGTTGTCATTAAACATTACAAAAATTGCGTTGGAAAAAAAAAATTGTCACTGTTATGCATACAACATAAAAGGTAATTCGTCAGATGACTTCATAAAAAGAACTGTGAGTTTGGATAAACTAGACAATGGTATAGGTAACTGAGAATTTGTGTAATTATACACGCAGCTTTAGCTGCTGGCATTTTGCACTCCCCTGACAGAGCTATATTAAGTTACAAAAAATAACTGGCTTACTGCATATCACGGTCACATTTTTCAATTAATATTTTTTTCTTTCTCATTGCGAAAGTTATTTATCACCCACAGGGTTGCGATGATACAAACATTTTTTTTATCAAATTGTCAGGCTCACCACAAGCCTGTGCTTGTCGTAAACAATCACGAGACAAAACGGCGGGAAAATGGAAGGTATCATTTTCACGCGTTGGCAGGCAGTTTTTTTTCTTCTGTTGCCATTTGCGTAGCTTGTCTGCTTATTTCGCCGCGTCAATCAGCACGAGGCCACAAGGGCACCTTTCCTGTCCTGACCCATAACCACAAGTCTGTCTGGACCCATTCCAGGGTCCACACGTGGCGAGGATCTATTACCTTCCGTCAGTCTCGATCACATATTTGCTCGGATGACAATTGTGACATTGTAAACATTTACTTCAGAAGTGAATATAATGCCAGTCTGTTTCCCCAAATTGAGTTGCCTTCAGCATTTATGACCGAAAAGGTGTCTGTTAAACTTCGCTCACACATTTGTTTGCTTAATAAGGCATTACGTTTCATTTTTTTTATCACGCGTCTGTGTTCATGCTCGCTGGTTTTCAACAGGAATTATTTCAACTTAGCAAAAGGCGTGCTCACAAACGTTTTCTTGGAATCAACCTATGAGGAGCCTCCGTTTTCTCTCCTAGATATGATATTCCATACACACAACAGAACACGCAATACATGTGTATATTGATCCTGTAGGTGCATTTTTCGATATAACCACTCTCGGCCAATGACGGTTGATTGGATGCTATTTTATTGGAGGCACCATCTCAACGGTTTTTAAAAGTGGAAGCTTCATCTTGACCCTTGACACTTACAAAGCAAAGAGACACTGGGGGCTATTTCAGCTTCTTCCGCTACACTTGAAAGTGAAGGATCGAAAGATCTGCGATGAGCGATTTCGGTGAGATGTTTTTTTTGACTCCTGAAAGATCTTTGCCCGAAGGGAAGGAAAGTCAATAATAAAAGCAGGAGCTTGAAAAATAATTCTTGAGACTTTGGTCAAAGAATTATATATATTGTTTTTTTCTTTCATAAAAGGGGCAGCACACAGAAATTTTAGGCTGAAGCTTTAAAACAAATTGTGCTTATTACGTTCAATAAAGTTAATGCAACACTTTTTTTAAATGATATTTTCTAAATAAAACGATAGTTATGAGAGATTGGTCATGCCATTTGGATGAAAGAACATGTTTGGTTGTTAAATGCCATGAGTGAGTGTGTTTGTTAATTAAAGTTAACAGACCATTCTGCTCTTAAAATCGAGTTCATTAGTAACTCCATAAATATTCAATTATATTGTGCATTAAAAGTGCACGTGTGAAGACTTACAAATGATCTTCTTTTCAGATGCTTATTTGGAAACAAAACAAATGTACGGTTAAAATAAAGTAACATCGCAAATAAGTCTGATATAGGATATTGTAACCCCAAGTTATCAAACAACATACAATACGGACAAATAATGTAATCGCAATCTATTTTCTTGTTTGTGATTGGCTAGGTTTTGACTGTGTGTACACTTGTCAATTTGTGATTGGCAAAATACTGCCAACAGTTATTTTCTTGTGAAATAAATATTTTTAACATAATTAAAACGCATAAACATTTTGATAAACTGACCAGTCATTATAGAAAGAGCATTGACATGCTTTTCGCGTTTACATTCTTTGTAAGGTTAACTTTCACACTGCTTGGCTCCAATACGGCAGCCAAATCATCCTCACAAAAGCCCTCAAACAGTAATAATCGCACCAATTGATGATTAAAGTGAAGGTTATTTTTTTACACGTTAAGCATTTTACAAAGCAAGTAAAACCAGCTACTGCCTGTATAGTATATGTTGAGTGACAATTGAATGCCTAGAAATAAAACATTAAACATTAACGCCACCACACAAGTCACAGTCACGTGTTTCTTGCTGTAATCGTAATAACAGGATAAAGAACAGATTACAACCATTTGTCAATATCTCTCTGGCCTATCTACGTGCTACGAAGTAGCGAAACTGTCAGAAACGCCGCCCATTATACATTGTTTGTAGTTCCTCGTCACACACGGAATTGGTGATGAGGGTTCCTTGACTATACTTCACCACCCTGGTAATTGTGCGTTACGGGAAGGGCAGCAGGGCCAAGGCTGATAATTATCGAACAGGATAGAGCCGTGTCCGTAGCTCCCACCGTTCCATCCACCGCGCCCACCATCCCTCAACTTTGACCATGTGTAGGATTTTTTTCCCCCGTCCATTTTGGGTGCCTCCGCTCGAAATCTTACAAGTCCTGGATAAAAAAATATATATATAGGAGAGAGAAAACAAACTCGCATTTGGCCGATCTCGTTTCACATTCCTCGCGGTGCACGCGCGCATCCCATCGGGAATTTCAATGAGCTCACACGGATGACGTCTAAATGAGACCACTAAACGGACCGGGATCGTTGTGTGGCGTCACATTCGAGGGCTCTTGAACCCAGTGGCAGGCGCGTGCCTTATGAATGAGCGCGGCCGTTTTACTCCCGGGGCGTGAACTGATTTAAACAAAAATATTTTTCTTTTGAAGGAGAGAAAAAAAACACGATGGGAAAATTATTCATTTTCAAGTTTGGTAGGGCCGAGAAGATGTGCGAGAATTTGTTTTTAATACGGCTCACAAACTGTATATACCTACAACGGAATATCGTTATCTCTCTGTTGAATGTATGCATGTTGAACTTCTTTCGCACCGTACGTAGCCAACCGTGTTAATTGGAGGTGCGGGGGAAGGACGGCAAACTAAAGCCAAAAAGCGGTTCTAAAGGAAATGAAGACACTAACAAATGAGACACACACGATGTTGATATATGTGCTGGCCGTATTGTCTGCTTGGATGCCTTCGTTGAAACCTAAAAACTATCAAACGGAGAACCTCAAACCACGTGACGCTCATCGTTGGTCCCCTTTTGCCCTTCATCAACCCACACGCATCAGCGTGGTGAAGTTTGGTCAAACAGCCTTCGTCACCAGCACGGTGTGGGGAATTGACCTTCATCAAGTAGTGGATTCACCTAGGGCTGTACATTGATGATGATGATGAGTGTATTTTGATTTAAAGATTATGAGTGTATTATTACAGAAGGGAACACACCATTGCCACCTGACTAGGAGTGGCCTTATTTCCATGCTTGTGGTTGGTTGTTTCAGCCGTACCTCCTTTAAACCTAGTACCAGATGATATCAGCAGCTAGCAGCTGGGCATGCTTGAACATTGGCAGTAGATATATGGAGAACTAGCAAAAGAACATATGTCTTTGCCACGGGTGATTTTGTGTTGTAAGTGGTATAAATCTATTTACTCCTAACATTTGATTGGTTTGACTTTGTTTTAACAAATAAATCTCATTCTATATAATTTTTCACTGACTAGCTACACTGTGTGGTAATGCCGACAAAACATTAAA